TCATTCATTCATTCATTCATTCATTCATTCATTCATTCATTCATTCAGTATTTGTTAATCATTTAATACATGCCAGGCATTACTCTAGGGGCTGGGGATTAAAATGACAAAAATGAGACAGTTCTTGCATTCAAATAGCTTACTTGAATGGATGAAAAGCTAATGTTGCTGTTGGGGAGAGGAGAAGTTCTAGGTAGGAAGTTTTACTTAAGCTGAATTAGGAAGGTATCTAGGCATTGGGCATTAGGAAGGACTGTATGAAAAGGAAGTGAGGAGGGAATGCAGAAACATAGAACCAGAGGATGGAGTGTACTAGGAAACAGTTAGCAGGCCAGTTTTGTTATAATGTAGAGGGTGCAAAGAAACCCATTGTGTGATAAAACTGGAATTATAGACTAGAGGCAGAATTTGAAGGCTTTAAAAGCAAAAAAAAAAAGAAAGAAAGAAAAGAAAAAAAAAGTAGAATTTGTATTTTATCCCAGCAGCAAGAGGGAGCCTCTAAAACTTCTTTTTTATTATTTATTTTTAGTTTCCAGCATTTACTTTTATAAGATTTTGAATTCCAAATTCTTTAATTTTTTAATTAATTCAAAATTCTTTAAGATGGCAAGCAATCTGATATAGGTTATACATGCAGAATCATATTAAGCAAATTTCCACATTAGTCATATTGTGAAAGAAGAATCAGAATAAAAGAAAAACCATGAGAAAGAAAAAAAAGAGAAAATAGTACACTTTGATGCATTCAGACTCCATAGTTCTTTCTCTGAATGTAGATAACTTTTTCCATCATGAGTCTTTTGGAATTGTCTTACATCATTGTATTGCTGAAAAGAACTAGGTCAATTGTAGTTGATCATTGCACAATGTTGCTGTTACTGTGTACAGTGTTCTGGTTCTGCTCACTTCACTCAGCATCAGTTCATGTAAGTCTTTCCAGGTTTTTCTGAAATCTGCCTGCTCATCATTTCTTGTAGAACAATAGTATTTCATTCCATTCATCTATCACAACTTGTTCGACCATTCCCCAATTGGTGGACATCCACTCAATTTCCAATTCTTTGCCACCATAAAAAGAGCTGCTATAAATATTTTTTGTACATGTGAGTCCTTTTCCCTGTTTTATGATCTCTTTGGGATATAGACCTGGTAGTGCTATTGCTAGGTCAAAGGGTATGCACATTTTTATAGCCTTTTGGGCATAGTTCCAAATTGCTCTCCAGAATGGTTTGATCACTTCACAACTCCATGAACCATGAATTAGTGTTCCAATTTACCCACATCTTCTCCAACATTTATCATTTTCCTTTTTTGTCATATTAGCCAATCTAATAGGTATGAAGTGGTACCTCGGAGTTATTTTAATTTGCATTTCTCTAATCAATAGTGATTTCGAACATTTTTTATATGACTATAGATAGCTTTAGTTTCTTCCTCTGAAAACTGCCTATCCATATCCTTTGACCATTTATCAATTGGTGAATGACTTGTATTCTTATGAATTTGGCATAGCTCTCTATATATTTTAGAAATGAGCCCTTTATCAGAGACACTGGCTGTAAAAATTGTTTCCCAGTTTTCTTCTTCCCTTCTAATCTTGGTTTCATTGGCTTTATTTGTGCAAAATATCTCTTATTTGATCATAAATTCTTCTATTCTCCATAAATCTGACAGGTAAACTATTCCTTGCTCTCCTAGTTTGCTTATAGTGTCAGCCTTTATATCCAAATTGTGTACCTCCTTTGACTTTATCTTGGTATACGGTATAAGATGTTGGTCTATATCTAGTTTCTGTCAAACTGCTTTCCAGTTTTCCCAGAAGTTTTTGTTAAAAGGTGTGTTCTTATCCCAGAAGCTGGAGTCTTTGGGTTTATCAAACCGTAGATTACTATAGTCATTGACTACTGTGTCTTGTGTACTTAACCTATTCCACTGATCCACTACTCTATTTCTTAGCTAGTAGTAACAAGTCATTCTCGATCAGGAGGTTTTCAGGGTCAGACCTGTGCTTTAGGAATGTTTATTTGTTAGTCGTGTGGTGGTTGGATTGGAGGGAAGAGACACTGGAGTCAAAAAGACTCATTAGGAAGCTAAGGTAAAGGTGAGAGAAAATGAGGTTTGGAATGAGGGTGGTGGCTATGTGAATGGAGAGGAGGGGATAGATGTGAGATATATTGTGGAGGGAGAATCAATAGCTTCTAGAATAGGCAGCTAGGCGGCACAGTGTATATAGCACCAGTCCTGGATTCAGGAAGACTGTCTTAGTAAGTTCAAATCCAGCCACAGACACTTACTGGCTGTGTGACCCTGGGCAAGTCACAATTCTGTTTGCCTCAGTTTACTCATCTGTAAAATGAGCTGGCGAAGTAAATGGCAAACCACTCCAATATCTTTGCAAAGAAAACCCCAAATGGAGTCATGAGGAGTCAGACATGACTGAACAGCAATAAGAATCAGCAAGTCTTGGCAATTACTTGGTAGGAAGATGAGGAGAGTGAAGAGGTGAAGATGATTCCAAGATAGTGAACTTGGGTAACCAGAAGGATGGTGGTGTCCTCAACAGAAATGGGCAAGTTAGGGAGAGGGAAGAAGGTATAGCAGATCAGGCCATCTTCTGGTAGTTTAGGTTCTAGGTTAATTTAGGAAGAGATTGAGGAAAAGTTAACGGTCCCCACTTTGTTTGGAATATAGAGTTAAGATAATGAGAGCAGTGCAAAAAAAGTGGACGATTTTAAAAA